AAATTCAAAGATTTGGAAGCTAAAGATATAGCCTCAGCAGATAAAAAAAAAACATAAGAATTAGAGGATTACACAATAGAAAAACTAGAAAAATTTCTAATGGACTTATGTTCTTCACTAATTCCCTCATCCAAATTGGGTTTATTACCCTTTGAAATATACCATTGTTTAGCTAAAGGCATAGCTGAACACCAATCGAGAGAAGTAATAGTAAGATTTGCTTCTTACTACATTAAGAATCTGATTACTCAAGCCGCAAGAAGAGAATTATCCAAGTTGGAACAATACAAAGAGTTGAAGATTTTTGCAGATATTTATTTTGCTACCAGACAAGCTAGAAGGAAATTTCAAGTCTGCGCAAACATATTGAGAGACAACCATATTGAACATAGATGGAGGTTTCCAGCAGCCTTGATTATCCAATATGAAAACTCCTCTCTGATGTTTAGAGATCCTTCCCAAGCACGCCAAAAATTGGCAAAAATGGGGCTAATGAAAGAGAATGACACCCAAGACCACCATTCTACAAAATAAACTAAGACTCTACATGGGAAATGATTAATGAGTATATAATGCTATTGTTAAACTTGAGGAAACACTTTATTTTATTTCTCCCCCTTCCCTTTCACTGATGGGTTATCAGACAATTAGGAGGTGGTATTCCTTTACAATTCACAATCCAAAAAGTATAGGTAATGTAAGATTAATAAAGCCATCCAGACACTGTCATAGGCAATGGTAGAGGAACTAAAATGGTTGCACAGTGTTAAAAACAAATTAGTAGTATGGGTAGTGCAAAGATGAATATAAGGAATATCACAACGGGTATTATAGTATACGGTAATTAAATTAAACAAAATATGCCAATTGAGAGTAACCTTAATTTTAGTAAGTGGGTGAATAGCTACTTAATATTTATCACTAAATAGATAACATAAATTAATTGAAGACACACTAATTGACAGGCACTTAAAGGACCACTCTAGGCACTCAGACTACTTCAGCTTAATGAAGTGGTCTGGGTGCCAGGTCCAGCTAGGGTTAGCCCATTTTTTATATAAATAGGTTAATCCAGCCTCTAAAGCCTCTAGTGGCTGTCTCATTGACAGCCGCTAGAGGCATTTGCGTGCTTCTCACTGTGAAAATCACAGTGAGAAGACGCAAGCGTCCATAGGAAAGCATTATAAATGCTTTCCTATGAGACTGGCTGAATGCGTGCGCAGCTCCTGCAGCGCATGCGCATTCAGCCGAAGAGGAGGAGAAGAAGCAGAGAGGAGGAGGAGAGCTCCCCACCCAGCCCTGGAGAAAGGTAAGATTTTAACCCCTTCCTCTCCCCAGAGCCTGGCGGGAGGCGGTCCCTGAGGGTGGGGGCACCCTCAGGGCACTATAGTGCCAGGAAAACTAGTATGTTTTCCTGGCACTATAGTGGTCTTTCAAGACGAGCATAGAGTATGTGTAGTGGATTTTTGGCATGGATAAATGGGGGGAAGTAATAAACTTGTAATGTAAGTCTCTTTTTATTTTAATTTTTACTCCTCCTTTTATTTCCTCCCTCTCCTTGGCTAGCTCAATTTCCAGTTTTGTATACGGGAAGTGGTAAAATGAGGGAAGGAGGGGGCGTGGCCTGAAGTCCGACCTGTATGGAAGTGTGAGTCCCGAGCTCCTCGCCACCAAGCTAATATTAGCCGTTTTTTAGCCCCCTAACTCACCCTAATGGGACGCACCAGGAAACCGGAGAGCCAGCAGACCCCCAGGGCAGCACCGCCGGCAACTCCATCGGGACCGATGGATGGCTTTTTACAAACCCCGCCGGGACAGAGCCGCGAGGCGCACAGCTCCAAGATGGCGCCCGTCTCCCCTGCCTCCTCCTGTTCGGAGCCGGAACAGCCTACACTGGCTGATATTGGGGCAGAAATCAGGAGGCTGGCAGTCAACATGGTCACTAAATCAGACCTACAGTCCCTGACCACCACCCTCACGGCATCCCTCACGTCCGCTGTCACTGCACTACGCACAGACATGGAGGCACAGGATGGCCGCATCCAAGCCCTGGAAACCCAGGCCCAAGCCACCCAACGCCAGGCCTCAGCCGCGGACACAGCCCTGACAAGGCAGGGCAACATGCTACTAGCCCTGCGCAGACAGGTCGAGGACCTAGACAATCGCAGTCGCCGCTCCAACATCAGGGTAAGGGGGATGCCGGAGGGAGAGGAGACGGAGAATGTTGCGGAATTACTGACCGCACTTTTCCGCCAGATTCTGGGGAACCAGGCGCCACCAGACATCCGCTTCGAGCGGGCGCATAGGGCCTTGAGACCCAGGAACAGGGATGGGGACCCCCGAGACATTATCTGCTGCCTACACTCATTTCCCCTCAAGGAACGCATTATGCAGCGGGCCAGGACCCGACCCACATGGCGATATCAAGAGGCAGAGGTCTCCTTGTACAATGACCTTTCCCCTACCACATTAGAGGCTAGGCGTGCCCTCAGACCCATCACTACAGCACTAAGGGAACGCAATATCCCATACAAGTGGGGCTTCCCATTCAGCATCCAGGTGAGACATCATAACGAGTGGATTGCGGCACGCTGGCCAGAAGAAATACCGCGCTTTCTCCAAAGGTTAGAACTACCGTCCATAGCAGTCCCGGACTGGATACTGGAACCGCTTGACCGGGAACCCCGACCCCAGAGACAACCTCGGAATCCGCGGAGAGGCCCCAGAGAGAACCGAACACCTGATATACCCCCACACCCGTCCAACCCAGAAGAATAGCCGTACCCCGCTTGATACCTACATCAGCTCGACTACGATCCTGAGACCTAAATATTCGAGCTGACATGGATACACAGCTACTCATACCCACTGCCCAGACCCGGAACCCGAGTGCCCTCCTCCCTGGACGGATGGGATAAACGCACTCGATATAACTTACGCAATTTGGGTGGGGAACGGGAGAGACACGGCATACCATTGTCCACAGGGGAGGGGAAAAGTTGGACACTACTCTTGGGGGGCCTGACTAGTCATGCTTATTGGCAGCCTCACTCACCCCCCACCATCTTCCCACAACGTGAGGCTTGCAAGGGAAGCACCGCTACTGGATTATCTTCAGTGGTGGGTAGGCAAGTGGAAAACACCGTGGAGGAGTGTTGCAAGGCTAAAGGAATACAACTTGGCCCGCCAAGATGACAACGGGCCTTTACCGTGCCAAAGCAGAAGCCTGTTCCAGCTCCTCGCACATTCAAGCCAACGCTGTTTCCATATGATGGAGGACTCATACTCACAGGTTCAAGGGGGGTCGGTAATTGGGTGAGGGTCAGAACATAGGGAGTCTGTGGGGGGAAGTTAAGCTCAAGGACGAAACATATACAAACGTATACACACACATAATGGGTAACACGAAGCTGATAGGGTCTAGGGAGCCGGGACTCTAGACCGGGGAACATGGAATTAGGGGGAGGGGGATGGGGGGACTGTGGGACACTCATATTAGTGTCCGGTATCATTAACATATAGGTACGGGGGAGACAACTGAGCTATTACCCTTCACTCCCCCACATTTAGGCAAAACCACATAAGGGCATGTAAGGATGGGATGAGGTGCAGGCACACATGTTAATCGGATGGTGGGGTTCCGCTAATGTACCGAAGTGTGTATATATGTTATATTGAATGGTGGAGTTCCACTAATGTACCCAATTGTATATATGTTATGTTGGATGGAGGGGTTCCGCTAATGTACCCAATTGTATATATGTCACATGCTCCATGTGGAAAAGAAGTATACCTTAATGTATGACACGCATTAGAGCTGGACGGCCCCTTACCCCTCTTACAAAGATGTCACTTCCGGGCTATAAGGAAGCAACCCCGCCCTTTCTCCCACCCCACACTCGAGAGCCTCATGATACGCGCAATATGACGAGGCGATACCTTACATACGCTCCCAACCCCATACCCGGATTTGATATATCATAGATACTGGCCTCGGCCATTGCTAATCGCTGGTGTAGGACCATAATACGACCGAACACTCACCCACTCGGATACACAACACTGTGTGACCCCCCCGACCAACATCGCACAGCTCCACAACCCAAAACTGACCCACGTTACCCTGGGAGACGGGGGCACACTTTTGAAACATGCTAGAACGAGACATGGATTCCTGCCTCCACACCATAGCCCTTTGTAGACTGCATATGGCGATAATATTGACTGCGGCTGGCGACCCAAGCTATACTAAGACGGGCAAAGACGACATTCAAACACTTTCAAAGAGGTGGCACACCTGTTAGGTAACCTCGGACTCCTGTATCTAATACAACCTATAGAAGACACATCCTAACACATATAAAACGCAAGGACACAAACACTAACCCCCGACAAGTTCGCGTGAACAAACCCACTCCACGGGGAATTGGCAGTTGGAAGCCGTGAGACTTTGTCTGACAGGCCCAGCTGCCGACTGCTGCCGTGGTCACGCGAACCAACCCTCCTTGGAGGGACTCTTGACACCTATCCGTAGGTGCTGGTATCACCTCCCTCTGGAGGTGGAGAACTCATCTTCTCTTTCATACCCCAGCTTGTCCCTACGGGCAGGCAGGGGCTTATCTGTACCCCACGTCTACCCCACTTTACTTTCCTGCCTCACCTCACCCACTCCTCTGACCCAACCCCTCAGCCTCCCCCCCACCCTTACTACTCCCCTCCCATTGTCACAGCAATTGCGGACACACCACGGAGAGGGGATACTCGTGGGCAGGCAGGGGCTTATCTGTACCCCACGTCTACCCCACTTTACTTTCCTGCCTCACCTCATCCACTCCTCTGACCCAACCCCTCAGCCTCCCCCCCACCCTTACTACTCCCCTCCCATTGTCACAGCAATTGCGGACACACCACGGAGAGGGGATACTCGTGGGCAATAGACTTCTTTTTGAAGTACCAACAAACCGCTAAAGTTCATAGCGACCCACTCACGATCAACATAAATGGCCTACGAACCAGATCCTTTACGCATTACGACCATGAATTGCCGGGGCCTCAATATTCCGGAGCGTAGGTCACAGCTCATACGGGATCTATCCTCTAGACACATATCCGTTGCCTTCCTCCAGGAAACGCATTTTAAGGAAGGAAATGCCCCGCTGCTGAAAGGCAAAAACTACCCCAACGCGCTCTGTAGCAACCACCCGACCGCCCGCAAGGCAGGGGTGGCGATCCTCCTCCATGCTAAGCTACAGTTCCAAGAAAATGACCGAATGTCCGACCCTAATGGCAGATATATATTCCTCAAAGGAGATATACAAGACCGTAGGTATACATTCGCGACGATCTATGTGCCAAATAATAATCAATCGCACTATATCCGCAAAACCCTTCTCAAACTTTCCTCATTCACGGAGGGCACACTGATCTTAGGTGGAGACCTTAACGTACCCCTCATCCCCCTAACGGACTCATCCACTGGACACAGCAGCGTTGCCCAGGGAGCCCTCCGCAGCATACAGAAGTCACTTAAGAACCTTCGACTAGTAGACTGCTGGCGCGCTATGCACCCAGCGGACAGGGAGTACACCCATTACTCCAGGATACATAGGCGATATGCGAGAATTGACTATATCTTCCTACAACAAGAGCAACTTAACGCAATCCAGAGAGTTGAAATTGGACCTGCAAGCTGGTCGGACCACGGACCGGTGACTCTACAAATGGACTCTCCTCGGATACGCCCATCCACCTGGACGTGGAGGCTCCGAGACTCTCTACTCTTAGACCCAGCGGTGAGGGAACGGGTCACTGAGGAACTCACGTCTTACTTCACACTAAACGCAACGGATGAACTACCGGCGACAACAGTATGGGAAGCCCACAAATGTGTACTCAGGGGCACACTAATGCACTTAGCCTCTAAAAAAAAAAAAGAATCCCAAAGACAGATGCAGGATCTCTTGATACGCATAACTACCCTTGAAATGCAACACAAACGATCCCTACTTGAAGAGACCTATAAGGAATTACTGGAAGCCCGAAGATCACTGCAAGCTCACATAACGGCCCGACACTATAGCTCCTTACAGCGCTCGCGGGCCTTTTTCTATCAACATGCCAACAAGGGAGGGAAACTACTGGCCAGGATGATCAGAGGCCCCCAAGGTATGACACAGGTCCATAAGATACGAACTTCGGATGGCACGGTAACACAGTTCCCAGACAAGATAGCGGCGGAGTTCCGCTCGTTTTACACTTCACTGTATAACATTCCGGGCCCGACACTCCCGGAAGAGACGGCTGTCAGATATGATAAGATACGAAGCTACATTGCATCCCATGTAGGGACACGACTACCCAATGGGGAGTCGGAGAACCTAGATACACCGATCACCGAAGCAGAGGTAGCGGGAGCCATAAAGGTCTCCAAAACGGGCCGCGCACCGGGACCTGATGGCTTTACTCTAGATTACTATAAAAAATTTCAAGCCATACTTCTCCCGAAACTCACCAACGCATTCAATGCGCTAGTGGGCGGCGCCCAACTCCATCATGAGTCCCTGGCGGCAACCATAACAGTCCTCCCGAAACCGGGGAAGGATCCCGAATTATGCAGCAGCTACAGACCAATCTCACTGCTGAATGTGGACGTGAAGCTTCTCACCAAGATTCTATCCACCAGAATTGGTGCAATACTACCGAAATTGGTCCATCCTGACCAGACGGGATTCATCCCTGGGAGGGAAGCAAGGGACAGCACTCTTAGGGCGCTATCCATCCATCACCTAGCAAAACGGTCAAACGATAAACTCCTACTATTATCGACGGACGCGGAGAAAGCGTTTGACAGGGTGGACTGGACGTTCCTCACGGCCACGCTTCGAGAACTGGGTTTCGGGGACAATATGTTATCGTGGATCGGCGCGTTGTACCAATGCCCTAATGCAAAAGTGAAAGTGAACGGAGCGCTTACAGAGTCCTTCCCGATCCGCAATGGGACGAGACAGGGCTGTCCGCTATCTCCCATGCTCTTCGCTTTAGTACTCGAACCGTTCCTAGAGGCAGTACGCACCTCGGATGAAATCCCGGGCTACAAAAACGGTAATGTAGCACACAAAGTGGCGGCATATGCCGATGACCTTTTATTCTTTATCACGGACCCGGAGACAACAATGCCCCATCTCATAGATATGTTCGACACCTATGGCGAGATCTCGGGGTTCAAATTGAATATGAGCAAATGCGAGGTACTCAATGTCACAGTCCCGACGACCCAAGCAGACGCACTAAAAAAACAATTCCCGTTCCGCTGGTGCTCGAATCACATGCAATACCTGGGAATAGCCCTCACCAGCGACCTTGGAGATATGTACCGAACAAACTTCTTACCATCGCTGCAACGAATACAACAAGATCTGAAGAAATGGGCGTACCCCCATATCTCGTGGTTCGGCCGGATTGCAATTCTCAAGATGAATATCTTACCGCGGATATTATACCTATACCAGACGATCCCACAAGCTCTGCCGACAGCATACTTCACATCACTCAGATCCGCGATGGTGAAGTTCGTCTGGAATGGGAAACAGGCAAGACTTCGCCAGGAGGTTCTCTGTTTACCACGAGCCTGGGGAGGTCTAGCGCTACCCGATATGCGCAAATACCATCAAGCGACAGTATTACAACGGGTATTGGAGTGGCATACCCATCCGGAACATAAACAATGGATCGACCTGGATAAAAGCCATATTGGCCCCCCCTTCCTGACGTCGGTATGGAATTCGAGGAGATTACCACAGGTGTCACTCGAACCAAATTCTACAGTAGCACAGACACTGAAAGCGTGGGAAACCATTCGAAGAACCCCACATATATCTCAATCACCGAGCCCGATGATTCAAATACAACATAACCCTCAGATAGGAGGGGGACTGCCCCCGACGTCATGGACATTTCTTGGGGACGGGGAATCATTCCCCATCCATAGGGTACTAAACAACACAGGCATGACCCCTTTGAGGGAACTGCTGGAGGGCACCCAACCTACTAGCCTACTAACCCTCCGTTATATGCAACTCAAATCCTACTATCGCACACTCCCGAACAAGGAAGCCCTACATAGGGACCTATCGTGGTTCGAAACGCTATGTGACCGCAAGACCACCCTGGATAAGACGATATCCACTCTATACCAACACATGCTAGTGGGACACCTCACCAACAATGATCAATTCCGCAGACGCTGGGAACATATGCTGGGCACATCCTTCACCACGGCCCAATGGGAGAAGATCCTCATATTACACCATAAATGCTCATCCAGCTCCCAATACCAAGAAATGAACTACAAACTCCTCTCATTCTGGTACAGAACACCTGATAGCCTACACAGGATCTTTCCAAACGTACCTGACGTATGCTGGAGATGCGGAGAAGCACGAGGTACACCACTACACATATGGTGGGACTGCCCCCTCATTACGCCATTTTGGGACGAAATAAAACAGAAAACAGAGGACATCCTAGGGATCGAAGATGGACTTGACGTGGAGACGGCCCTACTACACGCCACACCTGATACCATAGGGACGTATAGGAAGAGCATACGTAGGCACCTGTTGAACGCTGCCAAAGCACTAATCCCATTATACTGGAAACAGACGGCTATTCCAACAATAACACAATGGATGGAACGGGTGGAAGAGATATATAGTGCAGAATCAACACAGGCTGCTCTTCTTGGTCTTGAGGATAAACATACGGAGCTTTGGCGCCCATGGCTGCTCTACATAGCGGATCGAAACGCGGACAGACAGGAACCCCAGAGGACCCAAAGACTATCACATCCTCTCCTGGAAGGAGAATGAGACCCGATACGATACCCGCGGTGACCACAGGCGCAGGCAATGGGACCTCCTAACCCATCACACCCTCTCATACCCACCCCTCCCTCCACATCCCTCTTTATCCCCCTTCTCTACTTTACCTATTTCTCTATTATCTTTCATTATCCAACGAGGATACATAAACTGACTGAATAACTGATGCAATACAACTCATTCTGAGGTTACCAACAGATTCATTACATATTTACGCACAATAGTTTGTCTAGGGGCAACTACTCCAACCACAATATCTGGGAAAATGAACTGGGTAGATATTTATACAAACGGTTACTGACCTTCGAAATGGGCTCAACGACCTCCGACATCTTACTGGGGCTGTGGCTTGCAGGAGATAAAGAGATAGCTAAGATAACCATATAGCCGACTCATTATAGATGTCGACTTACCTAGGGAACGGTATAGGGACGGCCGCCCTACTGACATAAGATGATCTCCCCGGACAAACAGACCTCAATACTAAACCGCCCCGAAGAAATCGGACATGCACTTATTACCTAATTAGCTAAAAAGGAGATAACCTCTAATAGCCCTGCTGGACACAATAGGACACACTCGACTAACAAGACAGCATATCCGAGCATAACCTATTACATGCTCATGGACGCCCTTTAAACACCCTTGTACCTCCCACGAAGCACAATCCAATGCCTCCGACAGTTGTTATGAAAAACCTCCAATAAGCCGAACTCAGTCCACGACCTATCATTATCCCAATTCATGATAGCAATCTTAGCAACATATTGACTAAACCAGCTTGAAGTACACAGTTACCCTAAGCTTCTGATTACTAATATAACATTGTTTAATTGTTGATCACTGGAATTTCGCAAGGACCTGCGTGTCCGTTATATTTTGTTTGAATGCCGCAGTTATGTGTTGATAACTCATATCTTGTATGGACCTGCGTGCCCAGTACATGGTATCTTATTGCTGCAACTAATAAACAGCTTTGCATAAAAAATATTCAAAACCTTAAATAAACAGAACATTAAATAAAGTAAAAATATAGATAAATAAAAAATTAAAAAGAACATAACTCATTAAGACTCAAAAAAAAAAGAAGATCCAGAGAGTGATGATAAAGAATTAAAAGAACATTGCTTATTAAAACAACTTTTCATTACTTTATAAAGTTGGATTATGAAACTGCTTAACTATTATACCAAGACAGATAAGGACAGAGACTTGCTTGCTTCGGTGTATTAAAGTTCTTTTTTAGTGCTAAAAAAAAATGAGGGAAGGAAAAAGGAGACATTGGCCCCTCTTTTTGGGCAAATTTCGAGTGGTTGATAACTTTTTTTTTATAGCTCATACTCCTCCTGAGCTCTTACAACTGTAAGATTCTGAAAGAAGATTAAAATACAAAGTTAAAGTCTTGATCTTGTATGAATGTGGTATGTATGACGTGAACTCTCTACAGCACTGGTCAAATCACGCAGGGATGTGGTGGTGGGAAGAAGCTACTAGGTACGAAGGGAAAGGTAGGAGAAAAAGGGAATGCATAGAGCTCATAATTTGTACTGATGTCACTGAGATATATCTCAATTAACACCAATAGGTTGAACTCCCCATGCAAGAGAGTTTGATAATATAACCTCCTGAGGGAGCATAATGTTGATGTGGCATTCATTCAGGAATCTCATTGGGTCATAGACCCTACAAAACTGTGGAAATTTACAAGATTCCCTTTGCTGTTTTTTTCTAATTATGAAGGAGGAATAATAAAAAATAAAAAAAAGAGAGGTAGCCCTAATATTCTTTAGGAAACTGAAAGCTGAAGTGATTTTTCAGGAGAAAGATCCTTAATGGGCAATATCTAATTCTCAAAGTTAAAATAAATGACATTCTATACATTTTAATTAACTTATATGCTTCCAACACTTCCT